CTGGGCCCCGCCCAGCGTCGCCCCGGATGGCGGGCGCGGTGTTTCGCGCAGGTTCTCTCACTCCAGAGGCTGGGCGGCGCGCACCGACGGGCTTCGAGGTTCGAGGGCCCATCGGCGCCCCTGCACGCCCTCTGGCAGCAACCTCTTCGTTCCCTCGTGTCAATTCCCACTTTCTCCGCCTCCGCTCCCCTCCCCTCCCGTTCCCTCTCCTCCTCCCTCCACAATTACTAAATATGAATACTACTCTCCCTCTTCCCCTGATGACGTGCTGGGAGTGTTCGCCCCCCCCCCCCCCGCGTCCTTTTTTTACACACAGGTTTCCCGGGAGTTGGGTTTTCGCTTGCATTTTTTTCAAAATGCTGCTCTCGCTGAGGCGCCGGCCTCATTTTCGGGCCCCGCTCGTTCCGAATCGTGCTCCCGCTGCAGCGCTGGCCTCATTTCCGCGCTTCCGCTCGTTCCGAATCGTGCTCCCGCTGCAGCGCTGGCCTCATTTCCGCGCTTTCGCTCGTTTCGACTCGTGCTCCCGCTGCAGCGATGGCGTCATTCTGTGCCATGCCACGGCGTGCAATGCAATGCTAGGTTGATACTACGCTTTGCGGTGCTCTTCTACGCCATGCCATGCCGTGCTCTACAATGCATCGCGTACCCTTTCGAGATCATTGCCCTGCTCGACATCCGACTGTGCGAGTAGAGAGGGGATCTGCGCCATGGTAAGGGATGGGAGGGAGGGGTAGGATGTCAGATATGACGCGAGCGCACCTAGCTTGCCTCCTTCCCCTCCCCACCTCCCTCCATCCCTTCCTCAGCCCTTCTGGGCGGCGCGCCCACGGGGATAGGCAGAGGGGGAGGGCCGTGTCAGAAGGCTCGGAAAGCCCCTGGCCTTCTTGGGAGCCCTCTAGACCTCATCCGAAGATGCAGACGGCTTCGAAGAAGGTCGGAGGGATTCTGAGAAGCTGCGCGGCCTTCTGAGAAGGCCCGCCCCCTCTCCCTTCCCCCCCCGGGCTCGCCGCCGAATCGAGGTCACCTGAAACCTCGCGTCGCGACCAAACCACGACTGACAGATTTCGCAAGTCTCGGCCTCCAATGACCCTTACCAAGCCCCAGGATGATGAATAGGTCGCCGGGAAGAGGTCCAGACCTCTGGGGAGCCACGCCGTGTGAAGATCCACGTCAGATGTCTGAGCCTCTGGGGCGCAGATCGCACAGGCTGGCCGTGGGCCTTTGGGCGCAACTGGCTGCCTCTGGGCTCGCTCGTGCAGCACCGTTGCATTGGTGCCACGCCATGCAGCCCACTATTGCGAACACATTACCGCATGACTTGCTCCAGGCGTGCATAATCACATGCATGTTTGTTGTGCTATCCGCAGGCGCCGAGGCTCGAATCTAGAAGTCATCCGACACGTTCTAGAGCCAGGCAGAAGAAACAACTGCGCAATCACAGCCTAAAAGTTCTTTGGTTTCACCGCATTGCCAATGTTGGTTGCTTTGTGTTTTTGCTGCTCTTCGCACTGGCCGACCCCGTTTTGTGGCTGTTGCTGGTTGGCCCTGTGCCTTCGAGCGCCACTTGCTCTCGGCTCGCTCGTGTCCCCGCAACCTGGCCTGCTCACGCATGGCCCATTTTGGCAGCTCTGCAACTCTCTGCAGTGTTAGTGGCTGGCTCAAGGCCCTCAGCAAGCCAGGGGGGACGCGCGCGAGCCCGGGGGCAGCCTTCTCAGGAATTTCCTCGCGTCCAGGGGAGCAGGCATGGCATTGCACGGCACGGCAAGCCATGCCACGCGTGCGACGACTCTTCCGCACGTTGCAGAACACCTTCTTCGCATTGTGGAATTCCGGCGCGGTGCGGGCACGCCACCGCACGGTGATTTTCCCGCTTTCTGGGCCTCAGGCGCAGCTCTTCTGCCTCTCCCCCGATCCTCTGTCGTGAAAGGGTAAGGATCGGCGCTGGGCGCCCCTGGCAACGCCTCCGGCACCGCCCCTGGCACGCTCCGCGCGTCAGGGAGGGGGTCCACCGCCGATGCAAGAAATCCGAGCGGAGCTCCAGACTTTTATGTCTATGCCATCATTCCCTAAATAGTGTTTGCACCCAGGGTTTCTCACCCCTTTTCTGAAGTAAGCTGGTGTGGCAGTCTGGCGGTTATGTTGTCGCCGTCGCCGTCCTGTCGCCGCCTCGTCGCCTCTCGTTGCCTGGGCCCGTCTGGCGGTTTGGCGGTTATGTTGTCGCCGTCGATGCCCTGTCGCCGCACCGTCGCGTCCCGTCGTCTGGGCTGGTGTGGGGGCCTGGCGGCTATATTGTCGCCGTCGCCTTCCTGTCGCCGCCTCGTCGCCGCCCGTCGACTGGACCTGTTTGGCTGGCGGTTATGTTGTCGCCGTCGCCGCCTTTTTTGCCGCCTAGCACAACATAGATGTTCACTCCTAAGCAAAATTCGGATTTGCCCCCCCGGATTTCACCCCTATATTTTCTCGTATTGTTTTTCCACTCATTTGATTATGCCCCATCGTCCACCGTACATATGAACCCATACCATCCCAGCCAGGCTGGTATCGACCCCCCCCCGCCATCCTTTTGCAAACAAATGCTATGCGCGCTCTCTCGTTCGTCAAACATCATCAGTCAAGAATCTCGTTTCTTGTTGTTTAACAAAAAACGTCGTCGCGCGCACGCTGAAATTTTTGCACAACCGGCGGCGTCGGAAGGATTTCAAAATCGAGTGCCATATATATATATATATATATATATATATATATATATATTATATATATATATTATTATATATATATATATAAAAAGACAAAACACGCGGCCTTGCAATATGAATCCCACCAGCCCTTTGGGCGTGAGTGGTTTAGGGAGCTCTCTCTGTTCTCAACCCCCCTTCTTCCCCTTCGGGGAGGGGTTTACCCCTCCCCCTACCCCCTCCCCCTGGGCCTGGAGAGGGCGCCTCGCGGGTGGTCAGGGGAGTCCTTTTCGACTCCTGGGAGGGCTAAAAAACGACACCCCTCACGAGGATTCTGGCCCCGACGGGGGGAGGCAGAAAAAAACCTCTCCTCTTCTTTGAAGCCAAAATCATTGATTTTACTACGGTTTTGGCACCATTTTGGTCTTCTGAGGGGGCAGCGCTCATTAAAGCTTCCCTCTTCCTTCAAGGCAAAATCATTGATGTTACTAAAGTTTTGGGCTCATTTTGCCCTTCCGAGGGGGCAGCGCTAATTAAAGCTCCCCTCTTCTTTGTTCGATTTCCTCCAACATGGCCCCAAGAAGCGCCCAGGAGGCACCAAGAGGCCCCAAGATGGCCCCAAGAGGCCCCCAGGAGGCCTCCAAGAGGCCTCCAAGAGGCCCCCAAGATGCCCCCAAGAGGCCCCCAAGAGGCCCCAAGAGGCTCCCCCGAGGCACCCAAGACGCTCCTGGAAGCCCCTGGGGCCGCCAAGAGGCCCCCAAGACGCCCCAAACGGCCTCCAAGAGGCTCCCAAGAGGCCCGAAGAGGCTCCCCCAAGGCACCCAAGACGCTCCTAGAAGCCCCTGGGGCCGCCAAGAGGCCCCCAAGACGCCCCAAAAGGGGACGAGGTGCCCGAACGCCTCACGCCACGAGGAGCCCGAACGACTCACACCAGGACGAGGGGCCCGAACGACTCACACCACGAAGAGCCCGAACGACTCACACCAGAAGGAGGGGCCCGAACGACTCACACCAGGACGAGGCGCCCGAACGACTCACACCACGAGGAGCCCGAACGACTCACACCACGACGAGGGCCCCGAACGACTCACACCACGAGGAGCCCGAACGAGTCACACCAGGAGGAGGGGCCCGAACGACTCACACCAGGACGAGGGGCCCGAACAACTCACACCACGAGAAGCCCGAACGACTCACACCAGGACGAAGAGCCCGAACGACTCACACCACGAAGAGCCCGAACGACTCACACCAGGAAGAAGGGCCCGAACGACTCACACCAGGACGAGAAACCCCAAACGACTCAAACCACGAGGAGCGCTTTCTCTCCCTCCTCCTCCGCCTCGTCCTTCTCCCGCTCCCACCACAAGGAGGATGTACAAGGAGGCGGGAGGAAGGAGGAACAGGGGAGATATGCGGGGGCAGGCGGAAACACGCCTGAAAAACACGACTGTCGGCATGCTTCGAAAGAGTTGCTGTTTTGAGATGGGATGGTGGGGATACGCGAAGCGTAAAGAATTTTCAACACAAACACAAATGCGCCCGCGCTTTTGCGAATTCTGACAGCAACCATCGGTTTTTCAATCTTTTCATTTCCACATTGGCCTCTCGCGCGCGCGTGCCGAAATCGCTCGAACATCTTTTGTGCACGTGTTGTCGCAAAAACCTTTTTGCAACAAACGGGATGAAGTGCACGCGCACCAGTCGTCGCGCGCGCATGCCGGAATCCCTGAACAACCGACGGTTTCGCAAGGATTTCAAAACCGAATGCCATGAAAACACATAGAACACACGGTTTCCCATCATCAATTTTGAAGAGATCCTGCGTTCGCGCTCTTGCGGATTATTAAGAAAACCGTGGTTTTCCAACAGGTGCATCCAAATTCTGCCAGAAAAGGACTTCACGCGCCGAATGCCGAACTCACTCGAACGTCCGTGCGCACGTGCTGGGGGAGACACGATCCGCATCAAATCACAACACGTGGGCCACTCGCGCACGTCTGCCGCGCGCGCATGTCGAACTCCTTCTACAACCTCCATTGCCGACGCGAGGACATCGTCATCGTTATCGGCAGGCGTGATCCACATCGGCGCCGTCATTGATTGGCCATGCCGTCGTCATCGCCACCATCGTCACAATCACCGCTATTTTCATAATCGTGTCAACCGTTGTCGGCGTCGCCATGATGCCGCGCCCGCTCAAGTCACCGACTCGCGATCAAGTGCCCGCTCGGACGTGCCCAGCGGTCAGCGCCACCGCGGCCGCGTCGGATGTGGCAAACTAGCCGGCCGCTGCGCGCGCGGGCATGCGCGGGCCAGCGCGGC